GCCATGGGCCGCCCCGCCGCCGCCGCCGCCGCCGTGTGCGCCGCGCTGCTCAGCCCCGGCCTCGCCTTCAGCTCCCACTTCGACCCCGGTGAGTGCCGGCGCCGCCGCGTCCCGCTGCCTCCCGCGCGCTTCCCTCGCCGCTCCTTCCCCCGCTGCCCGCGGCTCCCTCCCGCTTCCCTCTCGGCTCCCTCCCGGTTCCCTCCCGCGCTGCCCCCGGGAGGCTCGGGCCGCTGGAGGCGCCGTTTTCGCTCCGGGGCCGGAGCGCGCGGGGTCCCGCGGGCGCTTGGGACGCTGAAAACCCGGCATCATCCTCATCCTCATGCTCGCCCGGCGGGATGGGGGCCGCGGGGAGGGTGCGGGGGCCGAGGCGCCCGTCCCGCTGCGGGGAGGCAGCGGCGGCAGAGCGGCGCGGCGGGCGCTCGCTGTTATGTAAGGAGCAGCTTTCTGGCCTGGGCTGCGCTGCGGCTGCAGGAGCTGGCAGCGCGGGGCTCGCGCGCTTTTGTGCGCCCTGGGGCCCTTGCAGCTGCAGCCTCCCCCTCTCCGCTGCATGCGCTGCTCGGCTGCGGGGTGATGGGGGACGCGGCTGCTGCCGCTCGGGTGTGCGGGGCTGCCCGCACAGAGGCGCAGCCCTCGGCGGCACCGGCCTCCCGGGACGGGCACCCCTGTGCTGCAAAGGGACCCAAGGGCCAGCGTCTTGCAGGGCTCGCGGCCAGCCGGCACCATCCCTTTGTTTACCCAAATAGAGGAGCCGAGCGCAGGTCTGGCAGCGCCCGCAGCCCAAAGGGCCCCTCTTGCACCCCCAGCCTTTGATAGCAACTCCCTTATCGGTAATTGAATGCGAAAGAAACGCAGCGTTTCCTTCACCGGCTGCGCTCGGTGGGAGCTGGGGGTGTCACTGCGGTGCTTCAGCATCGCTCCAAAGCAGCGTTCCCCGCTGCAGCCCCCTCCTTTGCAACCCCTGCAGGACCCCCGTGCCCCAGAGCCGCGGGCTGGGGGCGATGCAGGGGCTGAGCCCCGGCTGCCGCCCCCAGCCCTGCCTGCTGCAGCTGGCGCGGGCGAGGACGGAGACTCCTCATTGCATCGAAATGCTGTAGCGCTGGGGGCAAACACGTATTTACCGTCCTTGGACCTCGATCTGGTTTTTGCCTCCGTTTTCATGGAGGACCCAATTTGCCATGCTAATCCTGTCAAACCGAGGATTTTCAGGACACTTCTGGTTAAAAAAATTCCTTAAGCGAGAAGGTTTGATGCTGCTGTGTCTGGCCGTGCGGCTGAATGCGGGACTCTGCCCGCTGCTGCGGCTGACACCTGCCATTACTGTCAGGGAAGGAATTAAAGCGGAGGCAGAAAAGTCTTCTTGGTTTCACGGCCTTGCTGGGCTCGTGCATGCGGCGGGGCGTCCTGCTCAGCCTCCGGCACCTGTCCCATTTTCCCGATGTCCGCTGGTCTCTGTGCGGGAGGATGAGGCACGGGGCAAGGAGGAGGATGGGCGGCATGCGGCTGGCGGCGCCTCGGAGGCTTTGGGCTCCTTTGACAAGAGCGGTGATGTTCCCGGCAGGATTTTCCATGCTGCCATGGCCCAGGCAGCGTGCAGTGCTGAGGGAATGAGGCCACCGTGTGCATGGTGCAGGGATGCCACAACAGCCCCGTTCCAGGGGTTTTGTCCCCATTTTGCTGCCTAATTTGCTGCCATTCTCCTACCTGGCTCCCGGGTCTTTGGAGATGAGATCCTTCTCTGTGCCTGGCCGAGCTCATGGAGCTGGTGCTGATGGCAGCCTGAATGAGGGACTCGTATTTATGGGTCCAGCGGGCACAGGCCGCCGTCCCCCCGCAGCTGCTCCAAGCCTTGCAGCACCATTGCTGTGGCGGGACAGGGCTCGCAGCACCTTGTGGGGTCCTGTGCTGGTGCATGCATGTTGTGCTCCTGCATATGGACATGGCGCTGCCCACCACTGACTTGTGCATGGAGCTCCTGAGCATGTGCATGGAGCTCCTGGACAAGAGCATGGAGCTCCTGGACATGGAGCTCCTGATCATGGAGCTCCTGAGCATGTGCATGGAGCTCCTGGACATGGAGCTCCTGAGCATGGAGCTCCTGAGCATGTGCATGGAGCTCCTGGACATGGAGCTCCTGATTATGGAGCTCCCAGACATGTGCATGGAGCTCCTGGCCAAGTGCACGGACTGTCTTGGACTGGTCCGTGTGCAGGGTGCTCTTGGACACAGGCACATGAACAGAGCTCCTGGGCAAGCGCATGGGCTGCCCTGCTGCCGGTGCGGAGCAGAGAGCCTGAGTCCCCGAGTGGGGAAGGCGCCTCGGAAGCAGAGGGCAGATTGGGGCCAGGGGACGTGCGACAAAGCGGCTGCTGCAGGGACGGGGCCACGTGGCAGCACCAGGAGCCCTGTCCCGCTCCGTGGGGTGACACCTCATCGGCCGCCGGCTGCGTGTGCCCACGGGTGCCGGTTCCTCCTCCTCCTCCTCCTCCTCCCCGCTCGTGCTCCCGCCCTGCGCACGGCTGGCTGCGTTTTGGACAGCGATACGGATCCCTGTCAAAGCCAATTAGGGGAAATTAATACTCCGGGGTTGAAAGGACTCTGATCTCTCGGGAGCGGCAGCGCAGGGTGAGACACGCCGGGCACTGGCCGGCCCCGTACACGCTCCCTCCTCATCCTGGCTAATTCTGTGGGCTGGAAAAGTTCCCCCTCCGCGGAGTGGCTCTGGAGCTCAGGGAATGAGACATTAGAGAAATTGCTGTCCCAAGGGTGTCGCAGCAGCCCCTGCGCGCAAAGCCAGCAATGCTCTGGGTAGCGCTGCCGCTGCAGGAGCCGGAGCAGCGGGAAGAGCCGCTTCGGGAATTCCCGGAGAGCGGCCGGGCCAGGCAGGCGCTAAAGCCCCAGGTCCTGCTCCCGGGCGCTGCTGGCTCCTCCCGACGACCTCCACCTCCACGCAGCCTGTTTGTCCTCGTGGCACGAGGGGAAGGGCCCCATGTGGGGGTGCAGGGCCGGCCTCGTCCGCCCACTCCTGCTGCCCAGCTCCGGCCGGGCCACGGGAGGGACGTGCGGGTGGTGCGAAACCCCTGCGCTCCTGGCTCGGCCTTTTCCAGAGCCTCCGAGGCCTCTGAGGTTCCACAGGGAGCTCGGTGCGTGCCTGGGAATGGCACCCTGGGATGTGGTGGGATGCAGAGGGATGCACAGCGCCAACATCAGCATTTGGGCTCCGTCGCTCTCATGCTGCCTGTTAAAATTGCGCTGCTGCCACCCACATCCCTTCCTCTCCGTGGCCTCATCTGGTGCCTCCGGCACCCTCGCGGAACCAGCTCCCACTGGAGAGCAGTGTCTGGCGTGGGGAGTATCTGACAGCACCTGCAGCACCCCGGGAATGGGGTGAAAAGGCCCCAAACGGTGATTGCAGCAGGCAGCTGGGCTATAGGCACCGTGGGTGCCAGCCACAGCACAGAGCCACCGGTACCCCCGGAGCGGATCTGTCCCGGCTGTCCTGCGGGAGCCGGCTCCTCTCCTCTGCTCGCAGGCAGAGCTGCAGATTCCCATTTTGTCATGGATGGATCCTGATAAAAATAGGCCGCCCCGCTCCATGCTGCCTCCCTCCTGCATTACGTAAAGGCTCCTCTCCGTGCACCGGGGCCGGGACCGAGCGGCTGCAGCCTCCACCGGTGCCGAGGGTCTGCGGGACCGGCCCCAGCCTGGCCAGGAGCAGCCAGCGAGAGGAGGTGACTGATGCGGGCAGGTTTCATCTCGCCTTGCGCTTTTTTATTGTTCGTTTTGTGGAAGAAGACGGTGAGGTTGGCGGCAGCCCCGGGGCACCAGGGCCACGGCGAGGCTGAGCTCTGGGCACCTGATTCCCCGGCTCTAATCGAAGTGACGCGCGCGCTGCCCGCCCCACAGCCGGGCGCCTCAGCCTGCGCTCACACATTCCTGCTTCTCGGGTCATTATGCTCAGAAATGACAAGTGATCTTTCTCTATTTTGCACTTAATTTTTTTTTTTTACTGCTAATTCATCCCAGGATGATAAAAGCAGGATAAGGAGGTGAGACTCCATCCTTCTAAAGCAGTTTGCTTAAGTAGACGGGCACTACAAGCCACCTAAGGAGAATAGATGAACAGAATGGTTTGCAAGGCAGAGAGCAGGGGCTGCTGCGGGGGGCGAGGGCCGGGGTCCCCGCGCGGGCGGCGCTGCCTCCGCTCCGCGCGCTCGGTGGCAGCGCCTGGCTGCACGTGGCCGCGCGGCGCTGCAAAGCCGCATCCCTGGGAGCTGCCCACGGACCCGGGCCCTTCATCCTGCCGGGATTGTTAAGGTAGTGGGACGGTGCAGGCGGGACAGGTGCTGCTGTGGCGGGACAGGTGCTGCTGTGGTGGGACGGGCACTGATGCGGCCCCGGCCCCGTGAGGATGATGATGATGATGAGGAGGATGTTGATGATGATGATAGGAGGAGGAGGAAAAGGAGGAGGAGGAGGAGCAGGGGTGAGGTGCCGCGCTGGGAGCCG